TTGCTGCTGTTGCTGTTGCTGCCAAGTTCTACGACGACGTGTACTACAGCAACAAGCACTACGCGCGGGTGGGGGGTGTACGTACACCCGAACTCAACCTGCTCGAGGCGCAGTTTCTTTCTCTCATTTCTTTTCATCTTTCCGTTTCTCCGCAGGAGTACAACAGGTACCGGACGAACGTGATGGCAGCAGCGCTGAGTGCTTCGCTGCAGCAGCACGCGCTGCCGCGCCGCCTGCAGCAGCAGCAGCAGCTGCTGCTGCAGCTGCACGCGCAGCAGCAGCCGCTGCAGGCGCCCCACGCCCAGCAGCGCGGCCGCTTCCCCCGCCACGCCGAACTCCACGCCCAGCAGCAGCAGCTGCTGCTGCAGCAGGCTGCTGCGCCCGACGCGCAGCAGCAGACGGCCCGCAGCCACAACCCCCACACCCACCGCCAGCTGCAGCACGAACGCCCCAAGCAGCAGCACCAGCAGCAGCAGCAGCAGGAAGAGGCCCCGGGAACCCGCGCAGCGGAAGCCTTCCCCCCCGAGGCCGGACTCCAGGACCAGCAGCTGCAGCACCAGCAGATCCAGCAGCAGCACAGCCAGCAGCAGCACAGCCAGCAGCAGCAGCTCCAGCTGCAGCTGGCCATGGTCGCCTACGCAGCAGACCGGGGCCCGCACAGCCACCGCAGCAGCTGCAGCGACAGCAGCTGCAGCGGAGGCACCAGCTGCTGCTGCTGCTGCTGCAGCTGCGCCTGGCAGCAAAGCCAAGCAGACGGCAGCACTGTTGCTTCTTCTGGGGGCCTCCGGCTAAGCGAGTCCGTCGAGACGCCTAGCAGCAGCAGCAGCGCAGCAGCAGCAGCAACTCTTGTTGCAGCAGCAGCAGCCTGCGAAGACTCCCCACTGGCGGCTCAACCGGCCAGGGGCCGCAGCTTCCAGCAGCCCCAACTGCAGCAACAGCAGTTGCAGCAGCAACAGCTGCTGCAGCAGCAGCAGTTGCAGCAGCAACAGCTGCAGCAGCAGCAGCTGCAGCAGCAACAGCAGCTCCAGCAGTTGCAGCAGCAGCAGCAGCTCCAGCAGCAACAGCTCCAGCAGCAGCAGCTGCAGCAACAGCAGTTGCAGCAGCAGCTGCAGCAGCAGCAGCTGCAGCAGCAGCAGCTGACCTTGCAAGCACATGCATGTGGCAGCAACAGTTGGTGTGTCGCCAGCAGCAGCTACGCCGAGCAGCACCACAGCACTGCAGCAGCCGGCGCAGCAACAGCAGCAGCAGGGTACGGCGTGCAGCCTCGACATTTTGTGGTGCTTGGACAAGACCAGCGGCAGCAGCAACAGCAGCAGCAGCAGCACTCAGGGGTATGGGGTATGCTCTGTCACCCAGAGGAGGACTGCTGCGCCCCTGCAAGCGAACAGCAGCAATACGGACCACTACTGGGGCAGCAGCAGCAGCAGCAGCAGCACTATTGCCAGAACGGGCTGCAGCAACGGCTGCAGCTGCAACTGGCGCAGCATTTGCAGCAGCAGCAGCAGCTGCTGCAGCTGCGGCTGCAGTCTCGGGAGCACCGCTGCCAGGCAGTCAGTGCCCGGCCGCGGCGCATCGTACGAGCTGCTGCTGCTGCTGCTGCTGTTGCTGCTGCTGCTGCTAGTGGGTCTTACTCTGTTTCTGAGGAAGATACACCTCTGGGGGCTCCAGCAAAAAGGCGGGGAGACACAAAGAGCAGCACCTCAGCAGCAGCATGTGTGAGGGGCTCCGAGTGCCTCTGCAGCAGAGACGCAGCAGCAGCAGCAGCTGCTGCTGCTGCTGCTGCTGCTGCAGGCAGTAGTACAACCAGCAGCAGCGGGGGTGGAGCTGGTGCTTCGGCAGCAGCAGCAGGGAGAGCCGGCGGGTCCTTCTTGTCGGGCCCCGCAGCAAAGCCGAGCTTGTCTTGCAGCAGCAGCAGCAGCTGCTGCTGCTGCTGCTCCACAGTCTCCCCCTCAATGGGGCACGCAACTGGCAGCACTTGCTGCGCCTCTGAGGCTCCTTCGCCCACTTCCCCAGCCTGTTACACTTCGCCGCAGCAGCAGGAGTTTGCTGCTGCGCAGCCAGCAGCAGCAGCAGCAGCAGCAGCAGCAGCAGACGGGGAGGGGTGCTGCGGTGACGATGCCTTCACCCAGAGACTGATCACTCGCCTGCAACAGCAGCAGCAGCAGCAACGGTCTTTGTTCCTGCAGCAGCAGCAGCAGCAGCAGCGAGCTCTCATGCGTCTGCAATTTCCAGGGGCCACGGCCTCCCACACTCAGCAACAGCAACAGCAGCAACAGCAGCAGCAGCAGCAGCAGCAGCCTCTCGCAGACCCTTGCGCCACACCAACGGAAGCTGGGTACTGCAGCAGTTCTTTGAGGGACCAACGGTTGCTGACGGTTTTGCGTGGGCAGCAGCACTTGCTGCAGCAGCGGCTGCAGCAGCAGCAGCACCTTCTGCGACACCAAAGGCTAGCCATTCAGCAGCAGCAGCAGCTGCTGCTGTGGCTGCGCCACAGCACCAGCAGCAGCAGCTGCAGTCCCAGCGAAGTGCTGCAGTATTCATCAGCTTCCAGGCTGTATGAGGCAGAGCAGGCGCAGCAGCAACAGCAACAGCAGCAGCAGCAGCAGCAGTTGCTAGTGCCGCAGCAGTTGCTGCGGCAGCAGATTGTGCGTGAACAACGTTTTAAGCAACAGCAGCTCCAGAGGAGCTGGTGCCACCGTGTCGCCGGGCAGCAGCAGCAGCAGCAGCTGGTGCAGCAGCAGGAGCTCCGGCAGCACCCGCTGCAGCAGCAGCAGCTGCAGCAACCGGCCCGCCCAGTGCTCTTGGGCGGCGCAGACCCCAGCGGCAATGTGGGTATTTCAGCAGCAAAAGCGGCAGCAGCAGCAGCAGCTGCTGCTGCTGCTACTAAGTCAAACGACTCGCATCAGCCTGCTTCCTCTCCCAGGAACTGCGGCGCATAGCAGCAGTGACTGCAACAGCGCAGCAGCATCAGCAGCAGCAGCAGAAGCAGCAGTAGCAGCAGTGTGCCCGCCTACTCGCTGCGACAAAAGCAGCTGCAGCAGCAGGAGCAGCAGAGTTTTGTTGTGTTGCCTTAGAGATTAATTGCTGCTGCTGCTCACGCGGCCTCGCCAACAGCCTCCGCTGCTGCAGCAGATGATAGTGCTGCTGCTGCAGCAAGCAGAAGCGGCAGCAGCTGCTGCCGCAATTTTCATTCAGCGCAGGAGCGCTGGAGTGTATGTACATGCAGCGCCTATAGGTGGGCAGCAACAGCAGCTGCTGCTGCTGCTGCACCAGGGCAGCAGCTGCTTACCATTTTTCTCTGTACTAAAGCAGCAGCAGGAGCAGCGACGTGCTGCTGCTGCTAGTGACCCCAGGAGATTTGACTGGGGAATTGGCCTGCAGCAGACAGAGAGAGCGGCAGCAGCAGCAGCAGTAAGCTGCTGCTGCTGCTGCTGCTGCTGCTCAAAAGCCACCAGGAGACTCCGCCAGCGGTCCCCGTCGCAGGCCCCACAGCTGCGGCCGTTTGTATGAGAATGTAATAAGAGCCTGTAGAGCAGCAACTTCTCGCTTTGTGTCTCTGCTGCTGCTCCAGCAGCAGCAGCCAGTGCTGCTGCAGCAGCGGCCAGAGCTGCGGCAGCGGCAGCAGCCAGAGCTGCGGCAGCGGCAGTAGCCAGCGCTGCTGCAGCAGCGGCAGCATCCAGTGCTGCTGCCGCAGCAGCCGGTGCCGCCGCAGCAGCAGCCAGCGCTGCAGCAGCGGCAGCAGCCAGTGCTGCAGCCGCAGCAGCAGCCAGCGCTGCAGCCGCAGCAGCAGCTATGTAATTCATTGCTGTAGCTGAGCTGCTGAAGGCTCGTGTCGCTACAGCACAGAAAGAAGACTTCAGTTCCGTTATGCTCGTTTGTGCTGCTGCTTCTGCTGCTGCTGCTGCTTTTGTTGCTGTAGCTCCTGCACGTGTAGTATGCAGAAGGCTAGCTAGGGCAGCACACGAGGCATTCACTGCAGCTGCAGCAGCAGCTGCAGCAGCTAGCCCCGTGGAGTTTGTTTGTGCTGCCGCTGCTGCAGCAGCATTTGCTGCTGCGGCGGTTACACTCGCATTTTGCAGCATGATAGGTAGAGCAGCAAACGGCAAGCGCTGCAGCAACAGCTGCAGCAGCAGCAGGTGCAGCAATAGCTGCAGCAACAGCCGCAGCAACAAGAGCAATCCCTTGCACTTCAAAAAGCTATCAAAAGTTCTGCAGCAGCAGCTATACACTCAACTGCTGCAGCACCAGCTGCTGCTGCTACGCATCAGCTGCAGCACTAGCAGCAATTTTTTGGGTGCTTCCTGTTAGGGTGTTAGTCTTTCAAACAGGAGCAGCAGCAAATGCTGCTGCAGCTCGTCAGAGCAGCAGCAACTGATGCAGCTGCTGCTCGTCTCAGCAGCAGCGGTTGCTGCTGCTGCTCGTGTCAGCAGCTGCTGCTGCTAACAGTCTTGCTGCTCCAGCTGTGCGCAGCTGCAGCGCCAGCGCCACGAGGTGCTGCTGCCTATGGCCTCTCAGCAGCAGCAATTTGCTGCAGCAGCCTGAAAAGGGGGCCTGGAAGCCGGCGGCTGCTTCTGCTGCTGCTCGGTGCAGCAGGAGCAGCAGCAGCAGCTGCAGCTGCTGCTGCTGCTGCTGCCTCTCGCACGGCGCAGCACAAAGTCCGAAGGTCCTGCTCCCTCGCCAAGTGGCGCTGCAGGTGCAGCAGCAGCGGAAGGTCCCGCAGCAGCAGCAGCACAGCGTCGCCGTTGGTGGCCTCGCGCAGCAGCTGCAGCAGCAGCAACACGCAACATAAGAACGACACAGGGAAGCTCTGCAGCAGCAGCAGCAGCTGCTGCTGCTGCAAAAGCAAAGTGCAGGGGCAGCTCAAATGTCCACTATCGCAGGAAGAGAAAAAGGCGCTGCACATGCAACAGCTACTGCTGGTGCTGCTGCTGCTACTTCTGCTGCGGCTGCTGCTACTTTTGCTGTTGCTACTGCTGCTGCTGCTGCTGCTGCTGCGATCTCAGCAAACAGTGGGGTGGCTCACAGCTAGACGCTGAGCAGAGGGTAGCATATCAGCTGCTGCTGCTGGCGGCTGCTGCTCATCCATAGCATGAAAAAACGGCGCTTCCTGCTGCTGCTGCTGCTGCTGCTGCGGCTGCCGCTGCTGCTGCTGCTGCTGCTGCTGCTGCTGCTGTGTTGGCCTGATGGGGGCGAGGGCCACAACTGCCCCAATCGGCAGAGAGCTAACGCCGTGCCCCTCTATCTTTATTTCTTCCCTTAAACATACCTCATCTGCTGCTGCTGCTGCTGCTGCAGCTGCAGCAGCTGCTGCTGCTTCTGTCCCTGTTTCGTCTGCTGCTGCTTTTGGCTGCTGCTGCTGCTGCTGCTGCCAGCTGGGTTGCATGTGGCGCCTCACAGGCATGCGTGGCCGCCCCTGGATTGCCTGCCTCCCTTCGGAAGTGCTGCTGCTGCTGCTGTTGCTGCTGCTGCTGCAGGCTTCGGCTGCAGGCACTTCGCCTTTAGCAGCTGCCAGCTGCTGCTGCAGCCCTTGCTGCAGCAGCAAACCCCGCTGCAGCAGCAAATGGCCTGGGACTGAGGCCGTCCAGGCCTCTACCTCCATGCTGCCTCCCGCTGCTGGTTTGATAACTAAACAGACCTGCTGCTGCTGCTGCTGCTGCTGCTGCTGCATGAGCAGCAAGAGGGCCTCGATCGCCTCAGCGGGAGGCTTCTGCTGCTGAGAGCAAGAAGAAAAAAAACAGCAGCAAAATGATTTAAATAAATAAATAAATAATAAAAATAAATAAAATAATTAAATAAAAATAAATAAATAAATAAATAAATAGTAAAAATAAATAAATAAATAAATAATAAATAAAGGAGAGGCAGCAAAGAACAGAAGGGCAAAAGAGGCAGAGGGGAATGAAGACAGGCAGAGACTAAATATTGTAACAGGAGACAAACCCTAAACCCTAAACCCTAAACCCTAAACCCTAAACCCTAAAACCCTAAACCCTAGGAGAGAAATGGAGACAGAGGTAGATAAAAAGAAATAGCAAAAGGAGACACAAGTAATTGAACACCTGCAGCAGAAAAGAGCAGCAGCAGCAGCAGCAGCAAAAAGGCGAAGAGGCAGCAGCAGCAAACAGACGCAGAAGCTGCAAAACCACAAACGCCCTTCTTGCTGCTGCTGCTGCTGTTGCTGCTGCGGCGGCGGCTCTCACCTGCTGCTGCCCCAGCAAGGAGTTGCCAGTAAAGGACCGCGAAGCCCTAAAGAAGCTGCTGCTGGGCTGCTGCTGCTGCTGCGGCTGCTGCTGCGGGGGAGCGGAATATACGAGGCAGCCAACCTGCTGCAGGCCGAGAAGCTGCGCCAGCTGGTCTGCTGCTCCAGAAGCCCTTTTTCGTGCCTGCAGCAGCAGCAGCAGCAGCAGCAGCAGCAAAGCAGCTGCGTACGAGACTGAGAGATTCAGCGCGGCTATACATATGGGATGCAGTAATAGGGACACCAGCAGCAATAGCAGCAGCTGCAGCAGCAGCAGCAGCAGCAAGTCACACCTCTGTATCCTCCGGCAATAGGAAAACAGCATCTACCACTACCACCGTTTTGCTGCTGCTGCTGCTGCTGCTGCTGCTGCCGCCAGTCCCAGTCATCCTAGGACTGCTGCGGCCCTGCTGCTGCTGCTGTTGCTGCTGCAGTCGTCTGCCGTACAGGATCCCCAGAGGTCGAGGCCCTGTAGTTGCTGCTGCTGCTGCTGCATCTGCTGCCGCTGCATCTACTGCTGCTGCATCTGCTGATGCTGCATCTGCTGCTGCTGCATCTGCTGCTGCTGCATCTGCTCGCAGCTCTTTCCGCTGCCGCTGCAGCACCAAGGCTGCTGCTGCAGCAATTTGCTGCTGGGCGGAAGGAGAGACAGCAACCTGCACAGAGGAATGGCACGCAGCAGCAGCTGCTGCTGCTGCAGCCTTAGGGCGAGCAACACACATAACACAAGATAGCAAGAACCCAGCAGCAGCAGCAACAGCAGCAGCAGCAACAGCAGCAGCAGCAGCAGCAGCAGCTCCAGACCTCAATTTGAGGGGGTGACGCGAAGTCAGCAGCAGCAAAACAGAGGGGCTGCGGAAGCTTTGCTGTCTGTGCTCCACCCAGCTGCTGCTGCTGCTGCTGCTGCTGTGGCCCTATCCAGGGCCCGCCTGCAGCAGCAGCAGCAGCACGAGCATCAGTGAGAAGGCGCTTTCGTCGCAGTGCTGCTGCTGCTGGACCTGCTGCAGTAGCCAGCGCCCACTGCCTCTGTCTCAAAGTGGCCGTAGCTCTGCTGCTGCTGCTGCTGCTGCTGCAGATGCTCGTGCTGCTGCTGCGATCCCCGGCGGAGAGAAGAAGCAGGAGGCAGCAAACCCATGGGCAAGACAAAGAAAAGGGGAAAAGGGAGGTCATCTCACATGAACCCGAAACCCTAAACCCTAAACCCTAAACTATAAACCCTAAACCCTAAACCCTAGACTGAGGACACGCTTCAGTGCAGACCCTCTCGAGTAGGGGTCAGCCCTAGGGGCCGAGGGTTTAGGGTTTTCTGCTGCAGCAGCACGAGAGAGTATCGAGACAGCGCGGCGCCAGCCTGGCAATTCAAACCCTAAACCCTAAACCCTAAACCCTAAAACCTAGGGCCTAGACGTTCGAAAACGAGTCGCCTTTTGCTAATTAATAGCTGACTTCATCATATTTCAGTAACAGTTTGTTATTTTGGGCTTCCGCGCTTCTCTTCTGTTGCTGCTGCTGCTGCCGCTGCCGCCGCAGCAGCAGTGTCATGCAACAGCAGCAGCAGCAGCAGCAGCAGCTGCAGCAGTATCAGCAGCAGCAGCATCGGCGCTGAGGGATATGCACCCTAATTCTTTTTGAAATCTTGGAAACGCGCAAAAGGGAAAATTCCGGCCAATAGCATCGTCTAGGCCGCCAAACCCTAAACCCTAAACCCTAAACCCTCGAAGACCTGTACGGCACTGCTGCGCAAACGCTCTGTGCGGCCTTCCCAGTAACATCTGGAGCCAATTGTTCGGCGATAAGGTTTAAGGGTTTAGGGTTTAGGGTTTAGGGTTTAGCGCTCAGAGTTTAGCTCTGGAGTCCAAGGCTGGGTTCCCCGCATGCAAGAAACAGGCATCCAGGGGCCCCACGTTGTGCGCAGAGGACCTCCTAGGGTTTAGGGTTTAGGCTTTAGGGTTTAGGGTTTAGGGTTTAGGGTTTGTGAGCTCAATGGTGAAGCGGCGCCGCGCCGCCGTGGAGGCGAAAGATGAGGGGGAAGCTGCAGCAGCAG